GCTGGCAGGGCACAGGCGAGACCTGGTCCCCACTGCCTTCCCTGACAGGACCATGCAGACCTGAGCAGGACGGGTTCGGAGTCAGACGGGACTGCGCGTCCCTCAGCCAGGGCCTGCGGCGGCTGAAGCCAGCTTTGCATTCATTAGACTTTACCTCTCTTGCCCAACTAGAACAGATTTTGAAAAAAGCAAAGGGCTTGACATATGGCTTTAAAAATGGGTTAACAATTTTAGCAAGCAGAGTTGGGAGGCACCGGTTGTCTGTATAATAAAGACGATAAATTGCATTGTTCATAAAATTACCTAAGAATTACTGGATCTGAATGTAGGAAGATGGGGTTTGGGAAGTCAGTTATTAGGTAGTACTAGCACTGAAGAAATTACATCAAATACGAAATTCTATTGGACAATTCTTTTTTTTTGACACCAGGGATCGAACTCAGGACCTTGCATTTGCGAGGCAGGTGGCAGGAAATACGAATTTCTAAATAATTTTTAGTTTTTGTTGTTGTTTTGGTACTGAGGATCAAAACTAGGATCTTTGCACTGAGCTACATCCCTGTCCTTTTGATTTTTTACTTTAAGCCAGGTTCTTACTAAGTTGCTAAATTGCCCAGGATGGACTTGAATTTGGGATCCTCCTGCCTCAGTCTCCCAAGTGCTAGTATTACAGGCCTACATCTTATCCAGCTTACCTTTTTTTCTTGGTAATACAGTTTTCGGAGGCTGGGCTTGTGGCTCAGTGACAGAGCCCTTGGCTATAGTACTTGGGACATGTATGAAAAAAATATTGCTTGTTTATCTGAAATTCAAATTTAAGAGGACAACCTGTATTTTTATTTGCTAATCTAGCACTTTGAGGGTGGACCCAAAGGCACATGTAATTAGGTTTCTCCCCTAGCATTAAAATGGCAAATATCAAAAAGCTTCCAGCTGGGCGTGGTGGCACATGCCTGTAATCTCAGCACTCGGGAGGCTGAGGCAGGAGGATCGCTGTGAGTTCGAGACCAGCCTGGGCTACATAGTGAGTTTCAGGTCAGTCTCAACTACATAGTGAGACCCTGTCTCAAAAAACTAAAGAAAAAAAAGCTTCCAGTTCCCCAGCCATGATGAGATGACGGACACAGCACACAGGTTTGTTGCTCCAATAAATAACAGGCACCTCCTAGTGCAGCTGGCACCATATTCTGAGCCCTGACTGTTAATCTGTCTGTTCATCCATTCATGCAGCAATTATTTATCAAGGGCCTGCTTTGTGCTCCGCATAAATTCTGGGAGAACAGGACAAGCAGTAAAAACCCTTGTCCTTGAACAGGCCTTATTTTTGCCAAGAGGACTAACTATAAAATGACAACTGCCATAAAGGGCTGGGTGTGGTGGTGCAGGTCTTCAGGCCTAGCACCAGGGAGGCTGAGGCAGGAGGACTGCGGAGTTCGAGGCCAGTCTGGGTTACAGCGAGACTTTCTCTCAAAATATCAACCCCCCCAACACACACACACACACACACACAACTACAGGGAAGGAATCCTACCTGGGCGGAGGTGTCTAAGGACTAAGGAAGGAGTGGGGACTGAGGAGGATTTGATGAGCTGATTTCTAAGGAGACGAAGGTGGCAGAGAAGTCGGGAAGGACAGAGAGGGAAGTACAGGTGCAAAGGCGAGACATGGTGGACCCTGGATTTTAAAAACTAAACAAGCTGACAAGTGCAAAAACAGCAAAAGGGGCTGGGGATTTAGCTCAGTGGCACAGTGCCTGCCTCATAAGGGAGGTCCTGAGTTTGATCCCTGGTACCAAAACAAACAAAATCCCTCAAACACAAACCCGAGTCTCTTTTACAAATGGATGCATCTTCTGCTTTGCTTTTTATATTTTATTTTTAAAAATCTTTTTTTTTCTATTGAGATCAGGTCCTGCTCTACAGTTCAGGCTGGACTCGAACTTACTATGTAATCTAGGTTAGCTTTTAACTCTAGGAATCCTCCTACCTCAGCCTTCTGAGTGCTGCAGCAGCTGCGAATTTGAGACCAGCCTGGGCTACATAGCGAGTTCCTGGTCAGTCTCAACTACATAGTGAGACCTTGTCAAAAGAGAAAAAAAGAAAAAAGAAAAAAGATCCTTTTTTTTGCCCCGTGACAATGCCCACAGAATACATTCTTAGATGTGAAATTTCCGGATCCACGAGTTACTACATTTAAATTTAAATTTCTTTTTGGTACTGAGGGTGAAACCCAAGATCATCCTGGCACTGAGCTCCATTTGCAGTCCATTTTATTTGTTACTTGGAGACAGGTCTTGCTCAATTGCCTGGGCTGACGTTGAACTTGCAATGCTCCTGTCTCAGCCTCCTGTGCAGTTGGGATTAGAGGCTCTGCATGTCCTGTTTGATTTGAGTGTGTAGGTGTTTACTTAACAGATAGAAGAACAAGGAGCACATTTGAAGGAGACAGTGGCAGAGGAAGAGCAAATGGCTCAGGGACCCAGGCTAGGGCTGGAGACTGTCAGGAGGTGACTTCCCCAGGCGGCGCTGGGGGAGGCAGAGGAAGGGTCCCAAAGCAGAAGGGCAGAGAAGCACCACAACGGCAAAGCTCTGAGGCAGAGAAGGGGTGTCACAAGTTTGGCCGTGAGGAGCTGGACCCCGCACTTGTGTCACCTGCCTCCCAGCACAGAGCACAGACCAAGGGCGGAACTGAGTGAGGAGCCTGGGGGAGCCTGGATGTGGATGCGGAACAGCCATGCTATGGGCCGGATGCCCACGCTGCCCGCTTACCGGCCTTGAAGTCACAGAGGACAGGAGACCAGCTGGAGACGACCTCAGTCACTTCTGGCAGGGCTGAGCTAAGGGGCAGATTTACAAGATCTCTTCCTTTCACTGGGGGGAAAAATGGCCCTTGAGAGAGCAGGGACGATGTTGTCAAGGGTCTTTGAGATAATGACAGACAGAACTTTTGTAAATGGTCTGAAACGTACACAATGTTAAAAAAATATGGAATAACTGCCTTTTGCTTCTATAATTTGCTTTGCTTAACAAAAACACCCAAGGTTTCACCATCGAATCTTAAAGGCATGTAGCCCCAGTTTAAAATTAACAGATTCCTGAGGTGCTAAGCCGCATCCCAGGATGAGACCAAATGTTCGACCTAACAGTTCCTGAGCTGTACAGCACTCTGCAGGGCTGGGGATTTAGCTTAGTGGTTCTGCCGCCTGCCTTGCAAGCACAGGGGGTCCTGAGATCAATCCCTGGTGTACCATAAAAGTGATGAGACGAAAGGAACATCACCAGCCCTGCTTTCCTACCTCTGACCCCTACCTTTGTGGGCTGAAATAGCTAAACATCCTGAAAGACACTGCTCCACCTGGGTTAACACTGTACCGTCTTGTGACCATGACTTGATAGGAACTGTGGGAACTAGAGTGTCTTATTACCTAAACTCAGGTCGTGACTGCAGAACTCACAAAAGGCAGATTGTCACCCAGTCCAGGGTGGATCATTTGGCACAGCTCTTGTGCAGACCAATCCTTTGCTAGCAAAGTAAACTTTTTAAAATTTTACCCTCTCTTACTTCTGTATATGCGTCATTTACCAGTTCCTTCTGCGACAATAAGAACAGTTTTCTTCTTTGCCTTCCCAGCTTCTTTACTAGAAGCAGATATGAAACCCTGCATAGAGGAGATGGGCTTCTAAGAGCTTTAGCTTCCAAAAGCCATTCCTTGTCAGTTGCCCCTTAAAAGAACTGTAGCATAAAACAGTCACTTGTTTTTCTGCCTGGGGAATCAGCTGTGCAATCTGAATGACAAAACAAAAGGCTCTAGAGATGCTTGGAAGGACACAGTGAATCCCTGGAAACAGTCTGCTCTCACGCCCGATGCTGGTGTAGCTAAAAACCTTCTCAGCTTCATTGCTGTGTACCTGTGGAAGCCTCTGCAGAGTTACTTGGAGGTTTGAATTAAGACTCCAAATCTGTAGCCCAAAAGATAAACACTAGGCCAGGGCTACTATCGCCAAAGGGAAGCTCTTCTGGAATAATCATCATTGCCGCTGTGGTAGTTCTGAAAGCTCCACAGCCTTTTCGATAGATCCTACTTCTCCATCCTAGTGGGATGTACTTTATATCATGTGCAGTAATTAGGAAAAATTTTATTTCAATGAGATTAGCAACACAGGGGCATTCAGAATTGCTTATTCCTAGGCCTGGGTGATTAAGCACAGCGGTACAAGTGTGAGGCCCCAAGTTAGATCTCTGGTACCAAAAACAAAACAAAACAAAAGAACTGCTAGTTCCCAAGGAAGAGGCACTGCATGGCCTGAGATGGATTTAAGATGATCACGTACAGCTTGGCTGCAAATCGACATTTCCTCACACTTAAATTTGTGAGTCCCACTTTGTACTTCCGTGATTGCTAAATCACTTTCAGAGAGCAAAGGAATGATTCTGGGAACCATGGTTTTGGAATAACAGACTCTTGTACTTTCCTGGTAGGGAGTATCTCAGCGTCATAAACACCAAACTAGAGGAGAAACCATGGAAGTATTAGCTCACCTTTCTTTGAAGCCTCCTGTTTCTTGCTCTGTGGCTAATAAAAGCAATGGAATGTGGTGTGGTGGCATAGACCTGTCATTTCAGTACTCTGGGAGGCTGAGGCAGGAGGATCCTAAGTTTGGGCCCAGCCTGGGTAATTTAGCAACTTACTGAGACCTTTTTAAAAAATTGAAAAAACTGGGCCTGGGATTTAGCTCAGTGGTTCCACTGCCTGTCCCGCAAGGGCAAGGACCTGAGTTCAATCCTGGGTAACCAAAGCAAACCAAACCAAACAGAAAACTAGTTTATAAACTTGCTGCCCAAAACTATAGATCATAAATTTACTGCTCAATTGAAAGCAAGTATGAGCAACGGGTTTCTCAAACATTCCACATACACACAGGAATGAACTACTATAGTTAAAAGGCAAAGAGGTCTCTGTTCACAGACTGACAGTGCAAGGAGCCCTTCTGAAAATTTACCTCGATGCAAGAGTGGAATTCTGGTCCTTACTGGTCAAAACAGCCACACAGGAGAGAAGACACCAAGAACGGGTGCTCACAGCTTTCACAACCATTTGTATCCATTTAGGGGAGTGGCTGCAAAATCAGATAGGATTTGATGTCAGGTGGGCTCCTTACGCAAAGTAGAAGGCTCCAGATGCAATAAATTAACCACACCATTTGAGGGCCAAACTATCATAGTCTATTAAAATTCACATTCACTGTTAAGTCTTATTTTACAGAAACATGCACAAAAGCTTTTTGTTTTTGGCTATTTGCTGTGCTGGGAATCAAATGAGGGCGTTGGTTGTCTATGGCAAGTGCTCTACCCAGAGGGTCACCTGCACCCCTACCCCGGCCCTAACGTATCAGCTTTTTTCCCCTTTGGTGTAAAGGGATTGAACCACCTCTGCGGACCTTTTTCTTTTCTTGAGACAGGGTTTATAGGTTTCACCCCCGACTTGAACCTTCTTACACTAATAAACACTGTACGTGTCTGAATGCAAAACGTAGGTCACAAGAATTACGAGAATTTCAACACGTACAGACGCTAAAGGTTTAATGATCGCTATTCCTGATGGTGACCTCCTAGGTTCACGTTTCCCATTGAGAATAATCTGCTTTAGGGTCAGGACCTTTTCCGTGTGCGGGTCTGGGACCCGGGAGCCAGGGACTCATTAGAGGGCGGTGTCTGTACCCGCTGCGGAGGACCCTCCTCGGGGCCCTGGTTCTTTAAAGAAGTGTGTATTAATTAGGCCCCCAAACTTCTCGGTGCTGCTTTAGTAAAAGGAGGACACCCCCGAGCCCCGCGTCACCGACAGGGCCCTGGCTTCACCAGCGAGCTCCCGTCCACCCCGGCGCCCTGCCCCGCGCGTCCTGGCGCCCGTCTCCTCCTCAGTTCGGCGATCG